TTCTGATGCAACCTTTTCCTTTACTGATGATGATTTTCTAAAAATTGCTATGGAGAAGATGAACCCCCAAATTGCTTTTATGAGAGGTGCTATAATGACCAAGACAAGCATTAGTGCAGCTCAAAAAAAAAATTTGAATTTGTACATCTTTTATCTCATATCATATAAGAATTGAAAAAAAATAAAAAAGATTTGAATAAATTGGTTCATATGAAATTATAATAATGTAAATGTAAAGATTAAATCTTGGTATGTCATGCATTTTCAATAACAAAAAATTAATTAAAATTTAAACTTAGTTCAAGTGCTCAACGTAACTAATACTAGAGAATAACTTGAGAGTTGGTTTATATGAAATTATAATAATGTAAAGGCAAAAGTGCCAAATCGCACCATGAACCAATTGCGATTCTTCATGCCGCACCCTGACCTTTCATATATGCTGTTTCGATGCACAAACCATCAAATTTTGTTCATCTAGACTTTTTAGCAGGTTGCCATCAAGTTACCCATTATAATATGCTGATGTGGAGGTATTTTTTATTGACTTATTTAAATATGTATTAAAAATATGACATGTCATTTTTTTTTACTTTCTCAATATATTTTTTTTCTCTCCATTATTCTCCGGCTGATATGTTTTCGTGTCTCATCTCGGACTCCCGTTCCCTCTTGACGGCGACGTCGGGGGAGGGCGGACCTCTTTTGCCGATGAAACTGGGGTTTTCGACTCGTCGGAAGTTGGATGGTCGCGGCGGTTTTCGGCGTTCCCGATGGGTTTTACGTCGCCGCTAAGGTTTTTCCTGTATTTGGTGTCTAAACGACAGCTACGGCGTTACTTGTTTCTTGAAATGCTTTTACCGGTGGTCATCTGAGATTATCAACGAAGGAAGTCCGACGGTCACCTCTGTTGGAAAAAGTTCTTCGACGTTTTCAATAGTGATTTGCCGTGCGTAAGGTTAGCGTTGACTTCGCTACTCCCTTGGTGGTTAACCTGGGTTATCTGACCCCCCCCCCCCTACGCGGCTTTGGATTCCGACGCCGTGTAAGGTTAGTAATCGCCATTATCTCTTCCTCTTACTACGTTTCTCAATCGCCCACAACAGGAGAAAAACCAGTCACAGGAAGAAGAGTAGGTCGTCGGTCACTGCCGCTGCTCCTTCGCTTAAAGAATCGTCGTCAACGTTCAATGCGAAGCTAGGGACACTAAAAGCGTCGCTGCCTCCAACTGGAAAAGAATCCAAGGCGGTGGATGAAAATTTGTAACAGGTTTCAGCTTTCGACGTCGGACGGCCAGCAAGAGACGACGACGGAGTGTTACCTGAGTTAACCCGAGAAATGGGTTTAACACCACGCCGGAGATTTTGTCGTGTGGGATTCTTGGAAAAAGATAGATGAAACTGAAAATTTCCATGACTCAGATTGATTGCACGCACACGAAAGAAAGCCTTTGTGTAGACTCTCTTCTTGTTTGCCCTGCCGAGTATAAACCCAGGTTAAATTAAAGCGTTTGTAAAGTTTGAGGTTAGCATCTTCTTTTATGTGTGCCATGGCCTAAACCTGTGTATTTTATGGGACTTCTCGGCTGTTTGGTTCAGTTTTCTATTCTCAGAATAGTAGAATAGTTTCTGAAAACCATGAAGAACATTTAACATTAGGTAACATAAAAACAGTACTATGTAATGTTGTCTCTGTCATTCTGTAACGCTAGGGCAGTACCTTTGGGTTGTGAGATTGGTCAGCCGGCTGCATAATGAAGGTCGCGAAACTTCGGGGCGATTTACAGAGGAGCTCAGTCGATGGCGTTGAAGATCAGTTGGATAGCCTTCAGTCCACATCAGCACATAGACCTTGAAATGAGTGTTGAATCTTAAAAATAAGTCCACATCAACACATAATTGTTGCCATGTCATCAAGGTAACCTGGAAACCTGCTAAAAAGTCTAGACGAACAAAATTTGATGGTTTGTGCATCGAAACAGCATTTATGAAAGGTCAGGGTACGGCATGAAGAATCGCAATTGGTTCATGGTGCGATTTGGCACTTTTGCCTAATGTAAATTTAAAGATTAAATCTTGTTATGTCACGCATTTTCAAGAAGAGATAATTAATTAACAATGAAACTTAGTTCAACTACTCAATTAGTATTAGTATTAAATGAAATTATAATAATGTAAATTTAAAGATTAAATATTAATTTTAAAAATAATACCTTCATTATATTTTAAAATTTATAGAGAATAATTTTTTTAATTTTAAATATAATAAGTTGGTTTTAAAAGTAATAAAAATAGTTATATGAAATTATAATAATGTAAATTTAAAGATTAAATCTTGTTATGTCATGCATTTTCAATAACAAAAAATTAAAATTTAAACTTAGTTCAACTGCTCAGCGTAACTAGTACTAGAGAATAACTTGGTTTATATGAAATTATAATAATGTAAATTTAAAGATTAAATCTTGTTATGTCATGCATTTTCAAGAACAGAAAATTAATTAACAATGAAACTTAGTTTAACTACTCAATTAGGTTTTCAAAAAAAAAAAAAAAAACTACTCAATTGATATTAGTATTAGTATTATATGAAATTATAATAATGTATATTTAAAGATTAAATATTACTTTTAAAAATAATATCTTCATTTTAAATTTTATAGAGAATAATTGTTTTAATTTTAAATATAATAAGTTGGTTTTAAAAGTAATAAAAAATAGTTATATGAAATTATAATAAAGCATATTTAAGGATGTAATTTTCATTTAAAAAATTAAAATTCGCGGGTGAATTATTAAGTTTTGCGAATGAAATTTCACAAATATGCAAACATCGACATTTCCCGTGAGTTGAGTGTTTGAAATAAACAAATATATATAATCTTTCTTTTTTCATCTTTCCACATCCAAAGGAATCACGTCCTCCCCCAATATTTAGCCCTAGATACAATCTTCTCCTTTCTTTCCTTCTACATCGCCTCATTACAATGATTTTTCCGTCTCCATTGTAGTCCATCGAGACCAGTCTGTGAGCGGAGGCCTTGAGACGACTTCGACTTTGCGAGGCGGTTTGGCGGCGAGGTTAGTGCCTTAGTGGAATAGTGGTCTTCTTACTCTTCTATACGTTTATACTACATGTACTCCTGTAGAACAGCTGAGATGTGGCCCTGCTGTAGGGTGGTGCCGTCTCTGTCTCCTGTAGGCTGCTGCTGCCTCCGTCGATGGCAGTGGCTGGTACTGGCTCCGCCAGTGGCGGCGGCTGCTACTCCTTAAACCCAAAAAAATAATTGAAATTGCTATTTTTTTTAAACCATTGAAATTGCTACTAATTGTTAAATTTTCAGTATTCTTAGATTTTAGTGTGTTGTTAAATTTCTAGTATTCTTAAATTTCCAGTATTCCTCAACTTTCACTGACAGTCTAAGTTAACAATTGAAACTGTTAAGGTAAATATTGCCTGTTGTGTGGTTTTCTTCATAACTATTACTATAATATGTTATATATTAATGAACTAGTTAATATAATTAAGTACTTCATGTAATTTGATTACTTTTTCTAGCATTTTGGAACAATCATTTTATTTTGTGGATAAATTCATTTAATTAAACTTTATTACATGTGCACTTATTTAATTAGAAGAATAGATATAAATGATATATCCAATCACCGAAGGTGGATGTATAATCGATTAATGCCAGGAAGGAGGGGGTTACATGAAGCATTTATTGATGGTGTTGATGAGTTTGTGAACTTTGCAACTGCACAGTCCGAGTATCAAAATAATGAGGTGATAAGATGTCCTTGTAAAAAATGTAGAAATCTATATCATTTAAAGCCTGAGGATGTTAAGGTTCATCTATACAAAAAAGGATTTGAACCTAACTATTGGGTTTGGACATGCCACGGAGAAGAACTACCTCAACAAAGTGGTGAAGCAACGATTAATGATTCTAGGGGAAATGCACAAGATGCAGAATGGAATCAATATGAGTCAATGTTGTGTGATATTGCTGGTCCAAGTTTCAACCCAAATATTGATGAAGTTGAAGGTGACATCCCACATGAGTCTTCAAAGAAATTCTATGACTTATTAGAGTCAGCTAGACAACCACTGTGGTCCGGAAGCAATGAAGAAACTGAGTTATCATACACCTTGAAGATAATGGACATCAAATCCACATTTAACATACCACAACTAGCAATATATGGATGCAATATTACAACTACATAATCGGGCATTTGGTCCTAATCGTGTGCCTCTAACCTATTATCAATCACAAAAAATGATTGGTAAATTAGGTTTGGGATATGACAAGATAGATTGTTGTGTGAATGGGTGTATGTTGTACTACAAGGATGATGTGGAACTAGTTTCATGTAAAGTTTGTGGAGAAGCAAGATATAAGACTGATAGGCATACCGATCTCATCTCAAAAAGGTTTCACGAAAAAAAATGTACTACTTTCCCCTCATTCCTAGGTTGCAAAGGTTGTATGCATCGCCTAACTCCGCAAAACACATGCGTTGGCACTTTGAAAATCGCCGTGAGCCAAATGTTATGTGTCATCCATCAGATGGTGAGGCATGGAAAAACTTTGATACAATTTACCAAGAATTTGCTGCAGAACCTCGGAATGTTAGGCTAGGATTGTGTGCAGATGGCTTTTCTCCATTTGGTATGAATGCTAAAACATATTCATGTTGGCCAGTCATAGTTGTGCCCTATAATCTTCCTCCCTCAATGTGTATGACAATGCCATACATGTTCTTATCTTGTGTAATCCCAGGAAAAAGCAATCCTAAGGCAAAAATTGATGTGTACTTGCAACCACTCATTGATGAATTGAAATTATTGTGGGATACAGGTGTAGTGACTTATGATATCTCATTGAAACAAAATTTTTTGATGAAGGCTGCATTAATGTGGACCATTAATGACTTTCCCGCATATGGGATGTTATCAGTTGGAAAACAGCAGGAAAACTAGCATGCCCTTATTGTATGCATAATTCAAAAGCATTTTACCTAAAGAATTCTAGGAAAAATTCTTGGTTTGATTGCCACCGTCAATTCTTGCATCTCAACCATCAGTTCAAAAGAAATAGAGATGGGTTTCTCAAAAAGGTGATAGAAAAGAGTAGAATTCCTCAAGTACATACAGGTGATGAGTTGTTTGAGCAAGTATCTACCTTTCCAAAAATTACAGAAGGTGTGATTACTCGACAAATTGGTTATGGACACAAACATAACTGGACGAAGAAGAGTATATTTTGGGATTTAGTATATTGGAAAGATCATTTGCTCTGGCACAATCTTGATGTTATGCACATTGAAAAAAATGTTTTTGATAATGTGTTCCATACTGTGATGAATGTTAAAGGCACAAATAAGAATAAAGATAGTGTAAAGTCTCGATTGGATGTACATGAGTATTGTAACCGACTGCAATTACATTTAGTTGAGCATAATGGAAAAGTGTTTAAGCCGAAAGCTAATTACACTTTGGAACGGGATGAACAAAGAGTTGTGTGTGAGTGGGTGCAAAATTTGAAGTTGCCAGATGGGTTTGCATCAAATGTAGCAAACTGTGTAAATGTTAATGAAAACAAATTGTGTGGTTTGAAAAGCCATAACTGTCACATCTTTATGGAATGCTTGATGACAATTGCGTTTTCTTTGTTACCCCATACATGTTGGAAAGTTATAGCAGAACTAAGCATTTTCTTCCGTCATCTTTGTTCTGCCACACTATTTGTGAATAAGGTTCAAGAATTAGAAGAGAGCATTGCACATTTGATTTGTAAATTAGAAAGAATTTTTCCTCCAACATTTTTTGACTGTATGGAGCATTTACTAGTTCACTTACCGTATGAAGCAAGATTAGGAGGACCAGTGCAATACCGTTGGATGTATCCATTTGAAAGATTTCTTAATTTCTTAAAAAGAAAGATAAAGAATAAGAGTCGGGTAGAAGGTTCTATATGTGAAGCATTTATCATTGAAGAGACTACTACTTTTGCTTCATATTATTTTGAAGCTCATGTGCAAAGTAGATATACAAGGATTGGTCGGAACTTAGATGATGGTGGAGTTAATAATGCAACACCATATACACTATCTGTGTTCAACCTTCCAGACCGCCTTATGGGTGCTTCAAGCAAAAGATATATGGATGAAAAAGAAGCTGATGCAGCACATCAACATATTTTGCTCAATTGCGAAGAAGTAAAACCAATTCTAAGGTACTAGTCATTAAACTTTCATTAACATTTTTTTAAAGAAAAATGTAACCCAAATTATAAATTACATTAAGCATTATGTTTTTTAGGATGTTTGAAGATGGATTGTGTGCATTAAATCCTGGGATTACAAATGCGCAAGTGGACAAAGAAGTTGAAAACTATTTTGCAAAGTGGTTTCAAACTTATGTAAGTATTACAATTATATATGTATTTGGTTTACAACATTTTTTATTACTGTAATTGTGCCTAAGCTCATTAATTGTATAAAATAATTTAGGTAAATCATTACAGAGATGGGTTACAAAACAAATTTCTCATTGATTTAGCATGTGGTCCACTGTTGGAAGTCAAAACATACTCTGGATACATTGTGAATGGGTATAAGTTTCAAACATATTCATATTGTAATGGCAAATCTACTACAAATAGTGGAGTGTGTGTTAAAGGGACAGGACTTGCTGAAGGTGAAGCTGATTTCTATGGCATTTTGAATGAGATTGTTGAAATTGAGTACCCAAATCTACCAATAAAAAAGGTGGTTCTTTTCAAATGTGAGTGGTTTGATCCTATGCCTAATATTGGTACTCGAGTGCTCTCTGAATATAGCATTGTTGAGGTGCGACAAAACCGAAGATGCCAAAAGTATGACCCCTTCATTATCGCTCAAAATGCTTCTCAAGTTTATTATTTGTCATATCCTCGAGGTGCTAAAGACAAGTCAAATTAGTCAGCTGTAATAAATGTAAGATCAAGGGGCACATTTGATGACCAATATAATACAAACTTAATACAGCCTTCCAACAAGAAGTGATACTGACAGGAGCTATTAGACATGCAGAGTATAAGGAGGACCAAGAAAACTTCTTGCATGAACCATATGAAATGGAAGAAGTTGATGGAAGTTCATTGTTTGAACAAACTCATGAACACATCAATGACAATAACGATTTAGATTCAGAAAGTGAATTTGAAGGTTCTTTTTATGATACCGTTAGTGAAGAAGCTGACGAGTATAGCGAACAAAGTGAGAATAATGATCAAGATAATATAAATGATGAAGATGAAGATGAAGATGATGACAACTAAAGTACCCTGCAAATGGAATGTAATGTGGTAACTTTTTTGCTTTAATTGACATATATACTCACTTTATTTGTTATATAATAATTGTTGCTATATCTTATATACTAATCCAACTTCAAAACTTGTGCTTTGCAGGAGTCCTAATAAGAGTTGAAAGAAGAGGAGCTCATTCAAATTATGGCATTTTGTATGCATTTGAATATATATTTTAATTTGAGTGATGTATCGTAAACTAATATATGTTAATATTTTTGCAATGAAGCAAACATGTTTTATTTTAGTCACTTGTTGAGGCATTTAGATTATAAATTATTAAATTTTATTGGTGGAAATATATTGTGTTGACAGTGTGTAGAAGCCAGCATGAAATCAAAAATTGTCATTTGTTTCTAATAATTTTCAGACGTAAGACTTCCTAGGAAACCAATTCTACATAATTAAAAACACTTACTTACCGACGTAAGGCTGGTCTGAAAAATATTCATCAAAAAATAAAGTTTAAACTTTCAGACATAAAGTACGTCGGCAAACATTTGTTTTAAAATTAAAATATAACATTACCGACGTATAGTTCATCGGAAACATTTTCATTTAATGTTAAATTTTAAACTTTCCGACGAAAAGTACGTCGGAAAATATATTTTTTTAAATAAAAAAGATTTCAATTACCGACGTTGTGTACGTCGGAAAATATATCAAAACAACGGGTCGTTTCTTCCCGGAGCTTAACGACGCATAATACGACAAATATAATGTATGTCGGAAATTTTCGACTACTTTTGTCGGGAACGAAATTTACCGAGATGCAGTTTTCAGGTTTCCTTTTTACGTCGGAAAACATGTCGGAAACTTCAATTGCGACGCAAATCATAGTATTTCCGACGTTTTTTTGTCCGTCGGAAAATCGCGAAATTCTGGTAGTGGGGACACGGGGAAAAACACCATGAACCACATCAGGTTTTCAGCGGGTGGGTGGCGGGTGGAGGACCACTCGCCGGCGGCGACACACCATTCCAGTGGGTGCCCGGCGGGCAGTCGCCTGCCCTCTGGAAAAATAAACACGGGCAGCGGGTAGGTGGCGGCCACCCCTGCCCACACCTACCCCCCACTGGCTCACAGGCAGCTTTTCGGTCCCAGAATCTCTCGTGGAACCCGAAACCATGTCCAGACACATTCAAACACATAACGACACCACCACGGATTCAATTAACGGAATTAAATCAAGAATCACACCAAATACGTTCTAACACGATTCCTAAACATGTCAACACCTAACATTAATCATATAACGGTTCAGGAACATCCGGGACCACAAGAATATCAAGAAATCTATATGCAAGGTCCTAAACACAAGTCCTAGGCTAGACTCAACACACGATCATGCATAATCCTACCCAATTATACCAAGAACATCATAACACGAAATTCAGGGATATAAACCCTAGGGCTCTAGACATAATCAAAATACAAGATCATTCATATAATCAATCATAGTATCAAGAACATCAAGATTATCACATAAACACAACATAAACCCTAAGCAAGGCTCTATCAAGACTCAATCACAGAATTACACATACGATTATCAAAGGAGCCAATAAATAAGATATAGCAAGGAAAATAGGTTTTGTCGAGACATGGGTTACCTCTTAGCCCTAATCAATACCCTTGGCCACTAAGGTTATTCTCTAAGATCCTTCTACCAATAGACGATCTTCCTAGGCTTGATGGTGGGGGATTTCCCTAGCTGGATCACCTGAGAGTATTTCGAGTGAGGGAGAGGAGAGGAAGGTTCTATTTGCTTTCTAATCCCCTATTTATACTCTTAAGGGAGACCTAGTCAGAGTCTAAATAGTAATGGCATGTTTCCCTATTCCCTATGGCCTTAAGGTTCCTGGTTCAGGTAAAGGTCCACGATCCATTGTGAATCGTCCGGGTTAATTAGGATAACTATAATTGGATTAAATTATTCTTAATTACTTTAATTAACGGGACTAATTTAATAATTAATTTGGATTTGAAGGTCGTAACACGGGGTGTTACATTTAACCTCCTACTTCTATGTACATTCTTCAACCCTTAAAAAGGCATTTAAAATATATTACATGGACATCAATTTATACAGTGGATAAGCATTAAAAAAAAGCATTGCAACCCTTAATTACAATCCTCTTGATGAACAGAGTACATTCTGCACTAATTACACAATACACAAGCATTTTTAAAAAGCATTGCAACCCTTAAATATATTACATTGATCAATTTATACAAAATGAGCAAAATATACTACTCTAATCATCATAGTGTCTCCTACCATACACTTTTTTTTGAATGCTACTAGCTCTATTACATTGTAGTATCTGTTCATATACTTTCTCAACCTACTAAAACACAAAGAGCTAATAACGCCTCGACTGAGGCTCGAACTCACAACCTTCCAAATGAAAATCCAACCCGGGTACCATTAGACCACATACACTTAAAACAATATACATTACAAAAGCAGCAATGCTAGAAACAAATGTTCACCAAAAATACAACTATAAGTACACTTCATACCCAACAACCTCATTTTTAATACTTTACTGTTAGAGACTTGAAATTGCTTCAGTTAGGACTTCTAGATCACATGAAATTGGTAGGTAATAAGCCTTCTCATACTAACTTTTGCTTATTTATGTGTAGCAACTTATAATTGTTCCCTCCGAACTTTTTCATAACTTCAACCATACATAGTTGCAATGTTAGAAAAACATTACTAAGACTTTCTACTGAGATCTCATTAAAGGCTTTATGAATAGCAGCAACTAGTTCATCCACATTGCGATGAGCTTCTTGATGTTGTAAAGATTGAAGTGCTCAAAAAACCCGAGATCCAATACATTCATGTCTGGACTATTTGGAGGCTGACAAGTTAAGTGAAGATCAAAGCCATCTTTCTTTGTAGCCTCCAAAAATTCAACATCATTCATACTAATATGTGGCCTTGCATTATCTTGTTGAATATATAGTCTTTGAACTACTTCAAGGCCATTTTGCACGTCTTGCAGGCAATACATAATTAATCAACCATTTTCTTGTAACTTCTTTATTTACAGATTCAATGGGCTTAGTTTCTAAGGTTCCCGCTTCCTGGTTCTTACTTCTGTCCTTAGCTGGTTCTTTATAAACAAATGGGAACATCCCAATTTTCCCATAAACATTTCATTTCTTTCTAAATTAAACCAAGGGCGAGCAACAACACAAAGAAACATAACTTTTGTTATAAACATTTTACTTTTACAAGTACAATATAGTTCATCTTCCTCAGACAATAGGTAATATTTTTGAGAAGTTCTTGAGAGGAAAAACCATTTTTCATCTATATGAACGATGTCATACATATCTATGAAACATGGATTATTATGAGACGAACTTGAATCAATCATAGATATGCATAAATGTAATCTTACCTTTTGGTTTTCCTCTGTTAACATAGGCTTGATAGCATTTGAGTGGCATTTCAAAGATCCCTCTTTAACTCTTCGGTGAAGACGTGTTTTTAACATGCTTAGTGCACTAGCCATAGAACGAATTGTTGTCTGGCGATTCAATGGGATTATAGCAACATCTTCAGGATTAATCGCAATCCTTTTCCTTCCAACATTACCTGACAAGTTTAAAGAAATATCAACTGGAACACCATTTGCAACACAAGCAATCCCTTTTTTCCATATTTGACTAACAGTTCTTGTAGAAACAGAATACATATTTGCAACACCTTTAACTGAACCATATTTTACTTTTCCATTCACACTATGTTTTAACAAAGTTTCAAAAACAACATTTCTCTTATCCTTGGAACATCTTGTGCTTAATTGAGCATCATTAGAACTCTCTTCCATTAGCATACGAGAATTTTTTTAATACAAAAAAACCTCTTTGTTGTTAAGTACTCTGAGAAAGAAATTAAAAAAAAAAAATGCTTCCTACAAACACACTATATATATATAGAGAGAGTACTAAGCATTCTATTGACCATAAGGTAACCAAAATACGGAGTAGAGTATTTTAATCTGTAAATGTCATATCAATAAAAAATTGGCGAAAAATTTTGCCACGATTTTTTTTCTCAATTTTGGTGATCTTACTGCATATATAGACAGGAACCGCAGAGTAATTTTTCTTTGAGAAGTACAGAGTATTAAAAAAAAAAGAGTGCTTTGTATAATCTTCAAAATTGAGAAAATTTCAGTATAAAAAGAGTAAAAACTAGATTCAAAATTACAGATTTTTTTTTCGTGCTCTGTATTTTAATTTGTAGGATTTGAGATTCAATCAAAATTTATTTTATTTTTTAAAACCCTAGATTGAAGGAGAACTAAGAATAATTTTTCAAAAGTTTTAAAGTCACTATTTTTAGGAAAACTCCATAGATTTAGTGTAGATCAGAATACTAACCTTGATATCAATTTTTTAAATTGATTAAAAGATTGCAAAAACCCATGCTCCAATTTCATCAAAACTCCATATTTGTGTTGAAATCTCTACAAAATTTGGCGACGCATATCTTCAATATCATCTTCCCATTGAGTATGGCGATGTAGATTTCAAAGTCTTTATGGAAGAAAGAATTTTAGAATTCTTATCTACAGAAAAAATTGA